ATAAACATTAATTAATGATTACTTATTCATATAATAATAATTATTATTGTTATTATACTATTTATATTTCCTAACATAATAATATAATAATATAATATAATGTTCTGAGCTGATTTTATTGTACTGTATATTTGAAACATTGCTTTGATAATTTCTGGATCATAATTATTTAGTATTAATTACTACCTACTATTTCTATTTGTAGTTGTTTTAATTTGTTGTAGACTATTGCGTCATGTGGTGCATACCCCTCTCATTTCTTTGATATCAGCGGTGATAAGGTGTGTATAGTGCAATTACTTTTTATTACTCTGTTTTTCAAGATGTGGTTGATTTCATCATTTGGTGTTTCACCCGATGCTTAGTACCACAATCATTGTGTTTTTGTAGATTAGTTTTTTGACGGGTTTATCATATAGTAATTTATTAACATGATATTCTCTAGTATGATAATTTTATATGTTTCCACACATGGATATCATTAATGCGCTGATGGTTGTGAACTTAGATAATTATAATATTTTGATATTAGTTAATAGTTATATTTAAAGATTGCGTTCTGGCAATCTGCATCCGTATGTGATTATTATTCACATTATTGTAAGTTATCATTTGACGTGGCTGTGAGATGCCACATTATGATGTAATCGATTTATGTAGTTTATATTTATTTAAGTTATAGAAGTAAATTATTTTATAAAATAGACGTATTTTTAAAATTGAATTTACATATACATGTGTGGTTTTGTGTGTTTAAGACTTTAAGACGATACAACTATACAAGTATCAGAATTTTAATGTAGCGTTTATTTTTTTAAATATTATATTACATTTGAATCCTTATTTTATATTTAAATGGCCATGACGCGATATTTAACAAAAATATCACTCTAAAGATGTATTAATATTTAAAAAACTAAACGTCATATTGAATTTCCGATACTTTCATCATCTTAAACACATAAATTCACACATATATACGTAAATTAAATTTCAAAATTAAAATTTTTAGATTGCGTGGGCTGAGTCCTTACAAGTTTTCAGTGGCGCATGTTTTAAGCTAGAAATTAGTTTGATAAGAGTAATAATAAATGAGATACACAAAGCAAAAAGGTTATATATCTATAAAATTTACATATTCGTTAATTTTTTAATGTATTAGATAGAAACTTTTTACTCAATAACTTATTTTGAGGATAAAAAGGTTCTATATTGAATAACAAAAGCATTATTAAGATTAAAAGAGTCCTATCACTACCAATAACACAATAATATCAATATGTGAAGTTCATAATTTAGAAACAATACTTTTTACAAATTTTCCACCACCACCACCACCCCCAAAAATTAACGGAACCATGGCTCAAAAAATCTGAAAATTAGAATTTGTGACAGTAAATAATTAATATTATAATACCTATTTATAATAATGAATCATTATTAATGATTATTAGTACCTACACAATATAATATTTTCCTATTAATATGGAATGTTTTTGCGCTAATATAATATAATAATGGTTAATTTAAAACCACTGGGCAACGGCCCATAGGATGCTTTTAAAATCAGACCGGTTCAAATGCCCACCTTGCCTCCCCCAATAACTCAACTGTGTGTGAACTTTAAAATTCGAACCGCCCGTTATCCTTGTCTGGATCCGACCCGGGTCTAATGACCAGTGTTGTCGAAGCAAATTATTGAATACATTTTTACAAAAAGTATATTTTATGGGTATTAGAAAAATAGTGACTTTTTAACGTGAGTATAGAATAAGTCAACTGATTAGTAGGTTAGTAACTATACATTGACGGTGCGTTACCCTAGCAACACAACATAAACTATTTTCTTCAAAGTTTTTACTATGCTATAGTAACCAATTCGTCACCATTCGTAACCACAATTTTGGAGTTCGTAATATACCTAAGCCATACTATAGCGTAGATACGTAACAAAAATAATATTTTCCCTAAACTTAAGCTGGCGACTGGTTTACCAGCACCCGCACCTCGAAATAATTTACTCAGAAAATTCAAAACTAATCTAGGGTTTAATAATCGATTAGTAACCATTTGTTTAGTATTCACTATTCAGGCATAAAGGTACATTACATCTTCCGAAAGGTGATTAGGACAATTTCCACCAGCCCTACCTAACCTACCTCAATACACATCTGCGCCCAGCTGTAATGACTTAAATATACAATAAATATAAAAACGACTCCTGTCGATAGTTATATTAAAATAGTAGAATTAAGCTACTACCTTCCTCCAGGTGTTCAGAGGGCTCTCGAGATCGTGTATTCTAGAATTACATCAAGTACGCCGTACAATATAATTTTATGTAAAAAAGTATGTGAAGTATGTAAGTCATGTAAATATGTAAACATATATTGTAATAATATATGTGATCAATATAAAATATAATATTAATTGCCTTACCTGATTCGCAGTTATTTCATTGCTTGTATATTATTTTGTAGAAGTTTTAGTTTTTAGGTGACACATCACACAGCGAGTAATACTTCAAAATGCACAAATTGAAATAATAAACACAATGATTATTGCTCACAGAAGGAGTCCAGATTGTCACTCGTTGAAATCGGTTTTGAGACTTTGAGAGATTGTTACTCGGTGACTAGTGCTCATTTACTGGTTTAAGGGACGACGCGAAGATGCTGACCAGAGAGTGGTATGCGGTTTTATCAAAAGGTTATCGTGAGCATGGGAACTAGATTATTTTTCGGCGGTAGATACCCGTTTTTTACCTTTCATTTTCTCTGGCGGCATTATATAATAAGGTCACACACCCTACGTTTTACAGTTATAAGTATGTGCCGATATCCTAATCCGTAGACATATCATATGGATCGTCTCTTTTTGGTCGTTGTTAATGGTTATTGGTTTTATTGGATAGGACCGGTTTCTATAAACGACAGTTTGGCCGTTATTTATTGTTCTGTAAGATTTTAGTTTATTTATTATAATGGTATGTGAGCATATCATTACACAGCTTTAACCGGTTAGCGGTGGGTGTGCGCGTAAATCCAGTCCACGTTACTTCATTAATTTTTGTTAGTTTCTTGTGTTTTTCAAGTGATCAACTTTTTCACCAAAAGCAACATTTCCGTTTACCGCTAGTAGAATAATATATAAGGAACCCCTTACTATGAAAAGATATTATGAAGTTATTGATTATTGGCAATGGTTTTTAAAATAAAAAAATAATTAGGAACCTAATCAATTATTAATTAAATATATTTATTAAAAAACACGTTCTTTATCTACTTATTTCACACAAATTTTTACAAGTATACTACATACTATATTAATATGATAATATGATTATATTATATATTAAAATGTTGGTCAATTTTATAATAAACAAGAATAATTAGATAATTATATTATATATAAATAGATTATAAATTTAAAAAATAAAACACATACAAGTAATACTTACATTATTAAATACATTGAATAGGTATTGTACATTTTTGTTACAAAAATAAACTGAAAATAACATCTGTAAATTATACAAATCAATTTTAAAATTAATAATTTTGATTTTTAAACCATTTAAAATTGTATCTTATTATGATTTATGAACCTTATTATTTTGTATAGTTATACTATAATACGTCTATACGCTATGGTTTTTACAAACGTATATCGGCATATATCTCCCCTTTTATATTGATCAATTAAACACTAGTATCTTTGTTGTTGCTTAACAATTTGTTTTCGAGGTGTTTTTGGTTCACTGACTCTTTTTAATTTGCAATAAACGTCAGTTTGTACTTCTTCGATTATAACATTTAACCATTGTAAAATTGGTAGCGAATCTCGATAAAAACTATTTTTAAAATGCGTGCACGAAATGATTCACCGGCATTTGTTGTGCTTGTAAGTTCAGATGATGCAAGTGTCCAAAGTTTTGGAGGATAAATACAATCTTCAGAAATATATTTTTCTTCAAAATAGTCATCAAATGTATGTACCTAGTCTTTTATCAACCGCTCATAATCATAAAGCCATCGCTGAAACAATCACTTACGTCTTCCGGATTAAGAAATAATAAGCCAAATATACCTATTATGTAACCATTTACCAATTTCAGAAACTCTTCTTCATATACCAACACTCGATAAGCCAATTTCTTGTATTTCATGGTACTAAGTTTGAGTTAAATGAAAATTACATCCTGAAATATTAGTTTGCAGCTACATTTCAGAAACCGCATTAAGCTAGCCCTTTCAAAGTCAACCTTTACTTTAGGAGGAGAAAAAATTAAGTCTTCACACTTTTTTCTTATTCACGAAAAACATAAATATACGTTTGTGTACATTTATTTCGTAATAAGAAAAACTAATGGAACATATTAACCTTTAATCCATGAATTGAAAAAAAATTTGTAAAAAAAAAAAAACAATCACATTAATCGAAAGTTTCGTTTATATAAATAACATTAATTGTTGATAGAAATCTTAGATTTGTTTCACATGAAAATATTATTATATTTACTTTTTTATCATTAAAGTTTTCATTTTGATTGGTTTTCTCGTCAATTAAATTAAGTACGTTATGGGCATAAGCTATAGCTATATCAATAGGATTCCTAGGAATAATTTTGCTTCGGTTTTCATACATATTTTTTCTGATTCTATTTATATCAAAATATCTGATATCTGATGAATAATAATTTTGTGCAATATAATTTTAAAATAATTTTTTTTTGGTCTTGTACTTACATTTTCAGCCGTTTTTTTACATACTGTTTTTATCACTTACTTCTTCAATTTGGTACCTACATATATCGTTAATGCCCAACCTTGTTAAAAAAACGTTCGAACTATTATTTCCAAAATAACTGGTTTTAAAATCACACAAAAAATCCAAAATCTTGATTATTATTATTTTGAGGAATAATACCTAATATCATTTTGCGTTTAATTAGAAATATAAAAAAAAAAAGTTGGTCACTATCGAAACGAGTGTAAACAATGACGAATAATGTGAACCCGACAAAAAATATCGTAGCAGTGAATACTACGAAAATGAACGCTCGGGAACAGGAAGAAAACACCCGACACCGTCAACTCAGGTGCTCGGACGAGAAGTTGTTGTCGTCATCGTCGTCATCGTCATGGTGGTCCCAGAAAGCAGGTCTAGGTGTCAGTGGGCAGTCGTCGAAAAATGCTGTGACGTCGGGTTCACTTCCGCTGACAGTATCGCGCTCCTCCGCAGGATCCACGGCATTCGCGATCGCCTATGGCCGACTCGGATTTCCGCTGGCCACCGTCCACGGGGTGGTGGACGGTCAGCGGTTACGTTGGCTGGTGCCACCTGAGTTGGTGGACTACAACGCGTATCTGCCTGTACTGGCCGACGGCCTGCGCGAACGACCCATGCCTTACGGGGCGTGCGCGACGTTCGGCCTGTGGGAGTTGCTGGCTTGGGACAGCCAGGGTGACCGCGTGCTGTCCGCTTTGCCCCAGACCGTGTTCCCGATCCGCCGGGCTCTGGACGTAGGCCGACGCGACTGGCCAACCACGGTGCGGGCACTCAAATCCCTCCAGAAGCTGTCTTCGGCCGGCCGCAAAGGCCTCGTAGGGCCGGCCATGGTGCCCTATTACCGACAGCTGTTGTCACCCATCAACAGATACCAGCACACCAGTGCTGGCGTGATCGCCACTGACGGCCTGGACGCTAAAGGCGGGTTTCCACTATACACGTTTGCCGTGTACACGAAAAATGTTCAGCTATGTCCAACAACACGGTATCATGGTTAACCGTGTGGTAACTGATCGTAAACAACCAATCACAGCAAATGATTTGTATGCACGTACTCGCATCCGTGTGTAGTGGAAACCCGCCTTAACGTCACGTATAACCTGTCCAACCTGTGCAATGACACGCTGTGCGTGCTCGAGCGCACCGGTGGGGCTTGCGCTTACAGCAGCATCAAGTCTGTTGTACCAACATACCAGAGCTGTATCTCGGTAGTTGGAGGCACAGCAGCATCTGGTAGCCTGGACAGGATCAAAGTCGGCTACAAGGCACTTCCTAAATAATATTCCTACAGGACACGGTGGTTGTAAACTTTTAATGGTTATAGGTTTACATGGTTTTTTGTCGACGACGACGAACCATTTAGTATAAAATGGTATAATTTAATATTATATTATATTATTTTACAAACGTATCCAATTTTACAGTGTTTTAAGAATTATGTTTTATATTTAATACTTAAGTCCTCTTGATTAACCATTATAATATTATTATGTTATTGAGTGAATATCCAATATTGTAAAAATTTGAATTTCGAACGCTCATAAAAATTTAATTTGACTTCCAGGTAGACATTTTTTTTAGTAAAGGTAAAGAATTTTAAGAATTTTTTTAGTCGAATTAAATTTTCCATTCATTTAAATATTTTTTTTCAAATTATATTTTTATTCGAATAACATTTTTTGAACTTTGCTTTTTATTCATATTGTATTTTTTATTGATTTAACAGTTTTTATTCAAATAAGATTGTTTATTTTAATTTCATTTTTTTATTAAATTACATTTTTTGTACAATAAGTAGGAATATATATTTTTTTAGATTATAAATATGGATGTTTGTTTTAGGATGCAATTTTTATATTTAGTACTTAAAAAATATAATTTGAATTATAAAAGACATTTTTAAGAAAAAAATCTATATAAAATAAATAAATCTAATTAAAAAAATCTAATATTAATAAAACCCAAGTTTAAAAAAATCGAAAGTTTGAGTTATATATAATAATATGTTATAATTTATAAGTCAATAAATGTTTAAGGATTTAAAAAACAAAAACCATTTCCCTTTGCAATTTCTCTGTATTATCTTGAAAAAAAAAAATATATAGTACTACCTTTTTAAAAATAAAAATCTTATAGTATCTATAGTTAAAATTATTATAGTAAAATATAAGTGTATTGTAAAAACAACATTAAGTTTTTCTTTGCATAAATGTTTTTCTAATACTGTCAAATAATTAATGTAAATTTTTTATAAAAAAATTACTGTCTTCCAATTGCATAATTAAACTGTATATACAATAAAATCACAAGCAACTTTTGTCATAGAATTAAGAGTTATGGAATTTGTAGCCAAGTCGTCATACACTTCCCACGAACTTATTCTCTTACAGTAATCCTTATAATGACATACACTGGACACACTTAATTCACCACCATTAACAAATGAAGTAATACCTCTCAGTTGATAGTTTAAATTTTCTATGGTCAGTACCTCTGGAATATCTTTAAGTTTCATTTTTAATAAAATTTATAATTTTTGGTGGTTTTTGAACAATGTGAGAAAATCGGCATCAATAATATGATTGATTGTCCAGAATGACTTCAAAATATAAATTTTAAAATAAATCCAATAAACTACCGATCCTTAAATTTATTCTACACATACATTCAACTAAAAATTAGAAGTAAAATTCTCCATCCAATATTTTAATGTCCACAGGTAACTCAATAAAAAATATTGATGTTTTTTGTAGTTCTTTAAATATATTTATGGCAAATGTTTTAAGAAATACATAACAAATTAGGTACCTACTATAAAAGTTGAATAGAAGCATAATAAATATCTCGTTTTTATTTTATAAATTTAATTATTATAATGTATGATATTAATACCCACCAATTTCTTCTTTTATTGTTATTATTATTATTATTATTATTACTATTTATATTATTATTATTGTTATATTTAAATTACTGAAAATGTACGTATATAATATAATATTATATACATATTATTATAAAAAAAAAAAAAACCAAAAAAAAACCGTAATTGTGATTTATTTCAGTAATAGAGAAAATATTATTATTATACCTATAAGTAGGTAGGTAAGAGACGTCCAGGTTTCAATCGTAAAATATGAAAGTAAACTCGTTTACATAATATTAAGCACTCATTCATAGTTGCACACAAAATGTATTAATTTAATAGTTTACTAACATTGTATTCATATTTATGCATCCTCAAATTAGTACCTACTTGGCTATATTTATTATTTTATACTCAGAAACTGACTTACTAAATGTATTCCAATGTAGATACTGCAAGGTTTTGTTGCATTTAAAAATTATTTTTTATTATATAATGATATAAATTTTTCTGTATTAATATTATAATATACTAGCTGATCCCGTGCACTTCGTCGCCCGTTAAATGTATCAACTCAATATGACTCAAACTTTGTTCAATTCGTTATTCAATATTCGGTGTATGGTGCTCAAAATGTATTTCATCTTTTCCTTTGCCCGGAATAAATATTCTGATTCGCAGCAGTACATTATCAGGTAGGCAATCTACATGCGGTAGATCGCAGAACCCTTGCTCTTTGTACGAAAATGTATGATTTAACTCTAAAGTATCAAAGTTATACCAAGTTTATTTTGATATAATACTGTGGATTAATATAACAAATTTGGTTGCTCGTAAAAAATCGCAACTCTTAAAAAAATTATGATTGTTGAAGTCCTTTTGGGTGTAACTTGCTGCGGTAAGTGCAACTCAGCCACCCTGGTAGGCAAGGTTCAATAATTCGATTTGATGCAAGCTTGTACCTGATCTGCCCGAATAACCAATGGAAATAAATAAATGCTAATTTCTACTGTAGACTGTAGTAACCAATGGCCACTATTAATAAATTAAAATAAAATTTCTAATTTCCATCGTGAATCTCAATGTTCCTGTTTGAGCACCTATTTAAAATACGAATTTTCGCAAATCCTTTCTTATTGCACGGTCAAAATATGAGAAGAAACTCTATTCCAAATTTCAAGTCCGTACGTTGAGTAGTTTTTGAGATACAGCGATCAGTGAGTCAGTGGTATTTGGATTTTATACGTATAGATAACTAATTATTGACTAACATTATCGGACTTTATTTATGCCTAAAACCTCCTCCGTGATATCTTCTTTCGTTTAAAAAAAACTGCATGACAATTGGATAAGTAGTTTCGAAGCCAAACCGTAACAAAGATTTCCTCTTTTGCTTGATTTCAGTTTTATATATATAGATTATAATACGTACCTACGTCCTACATACAAATATAATATTATGTTATTAGCAATATGAACAGTTAAATATACCAAATGTACGGTTATGTAATCTTTATCTTTCTTATAAGTTGTAAATATAATTATATACCTATGGAAAATTATATAATAAACAAGGATTGAAAATTTAAAACAATGTTCCACGTAAATAGTTAAATATTTAAATTACTTTATTCTCTATAATATATCATCAAATATACTTACTAATATCATAGGCTGACTGGCCGTTTTCGCTAAGAATCGTTTTTCTTATACAAGTCAATGATATTATATTATTGAATTCAAATTTAACACCATCCATTACAGTGACCCGCTTGTAATATACTGTACAGCAGAGCGACATTATTTGTGATTATTTGTACTTAAGTTTAAATTGACTGTGATTTAAATAGTTACAATAGTAGGTACACAGCTCTTCCAGTTATTTAATTGGATATATTATGAGTAAATGTGTTATTATTTATTGTCTTCTTAATTTTACTATGGTAAATAGTTTAACTATATATTATTATGTACCTATGTATTTATTATTAACTAAAATACCTAAAATTAAATACGAGTGTGTGTGAGTACACACGACAGAAGTGAATACTTAGAGGATATCAGCGCATGGAATTTATTTTCTTAAAATATTTGATGTGTATGAAAAATAAAGATTAGAATTTTTTTATTATATCTAAGAGTTTAATATAGTCATTACAGAGAATATTTTTATGAGTTGGTTCATTGCATTTAATACTATCGAATAATTAATAAATAATAGCCATTAGGGAAATAATTATTGATAAATTAAAAGCAATCTTATTCATTAATAGATACCTAGTTACTGTGTTAGTGTGTCGCTTAGTATGCCGTATGTAGAGATGGGAGCTCAGTAAATTTACCCGGTAAATTTTACGGGAAATGAAAATTTACGTACATTTTACCGATATTTTTTTTACAAGGTTAATATTTATAACCGTTTTAAAAATTGAGTGACCACTCATTTCAATTGTTATAGTAGGCACAACAACGCTATAGTGACTTCCATATCTTTAAAATGCATTTTATAAAGTTATACTAGTTATATAACTACAACTGTCCTACTTATATTTATCATACACATAAGATCTTCCAGCAAATAATTATTCCTAAGACAATGTTTTAGCACCATCATCTATGATTTGCTTTAAACAATATTTTTAGTCCAATATAACAAATATAATTCGGGGGTGCTAAGAACCCCCTGGCACCACCGTTTGTTCGCTAATGCATACTTATAATATATTTAAATATAAAACTTGTAGTAAGGAGTGGTACATTGATTGAATGGTTAGCTTAGTTAAAAAAATGTTATTGAGTTCGTATTCAATTTACTAAATAAAAATATTATACAGCATTAAAAAATGTACAGAAAAAAATGTTAAGGTAAAATCCCATCCCTAACCTTACGACGTACGACAGGTATCTATTATGAATCGATAATAATATTCAGGCGAGTATACAAAGGGGTTTTGGGGGTTCAAACCCCCCAAAAATGAATAGTTGTGTACTTTATTTATATATTATATATATATATTATGACCCCCCCTCCCCCACGAATTTCTTTTTGTAATATTACATTTTTGATAATATTATATAATATCCATAATAACAGTATAATACTAATTATTTTATAGCATAAATAATTATTGTCTATCACTCTACTCACGTATTACATTTCAAATAGTTTTCTCGGGTTATAAGCATTTATGTAAATTATTAATCATGGACGATAATAATTATCATACTATATTATTAATATCTGTTTAGGAAATTTTATTTGTATGATGGTTAGGTTCACTTATATTATTGCTAACCATGATCTAAATACGTGAAACGCTAACTTTGGATTATACCTACGCCCTACCTAAGTACTTGGGTATTTTAAAGATTGAACTATTTTAATCTATTTTAGCCCCATCGAATAAATTAGATATTTTTATAAACTTATCTATAATTATTATGATTTTTTTATATTATTGTTTTTAATCTAATCCAACAACAAAAATATTTGAATTAACTAATGAACCTACATATAACTTTATAAATATCCATATTATGTAGATTAATGAAATCTGAGAAGTCAAAAATGAAATTAGATATTTAAAATAAATATCGAACATCATGTTTTCTTGCACTATAATGGACTCAAAACAAATAAAACACTTTTGTCATCTTGACTCAACATCAGTTGATATAATATGTATTTTATAAAATATATCATTAAAACCGCGTTTACATCGAAATAAACAACGATAATATTTTTTATAAACGCCAATAATTATAACAATACGATTTTAACGACGAAAATAATAATAAGACTCATTTGGACTCCACAATGTGATTATTAATTACCTACAATGGTATTACACAATAAAAATATAATAACTACTACTGTGGACTTTGGTGTCTTTCGCTATGCGGCAGACGGTCAATTATTTTTGACATTTTTCCGAAGAAAAAAAAACCACGTACCGAACCTATCTCATGCTGCATCGCCGTTAACCTGTAAAATACTATTATACAGGGCTGCAGCAACAGAAAGGTTCTTTCGACATTTTTTTATAATATAATATATTATCATTATTATTATTTATTACACTGTGGTTCAATAGCGTTTGTGTCGTTAAAACTTTGTGTGAAATACCTACAACACCCGTCGAGAGTTAGGTTAGTCGCCCTCATTCGAATTCAAATGCATTTGGTGAATATTTCGATTATTTCGGTGGCACATAATGCTTTAAAAGTGACGCGAAGGGTTCGTTTCGAACTGAAAGGAAAAAAAACCTTCGTCTAGACGTGGTAAAACGTTTTGGTCGAAACACCCGCCGCAGTTACAAGCATAAATACATAATATTATCCCTCCTGCCAGGCCTACGATAATATTTGTTCGGTCTTTTTTTGCAGCTGTTTCACGATTTATTTCCCACGCCCAGTTTTATGTTCACCCACAATTCACATAAAACCTACACTAAAATCTGCTGTTGTTCTCCTTTGTCGTGTCGTTTTCGTCTCTGCGTATTCTTTATTTGTACTCTTATTAATCTTCTTCTTCACCGTCTTCGTATTTTTTTATCTTCTGCTTTAGGTATCATATATAAATTATAAACGATGAAAACGATTCCCAACTCAAACAACGCCCTTAAGCGATATAGTGCTAATTTATTGTC